AGAAATAATGTCAAAATTTGCTACATGAACAAAAAAAAAACTCTATTTCACCATTTCACCCTCAGCACACAAGTGCTGGTGGGGCCGAGAAAGCAACTGAAAAAATAATTCAATAAATAATTCAAATAATTCAAGCATATGCGGAAGTGGTCAGTACCCTGGGTTGGGGGCTATTCTATCACATTACCTATGGTGATGAAATGCGGGACAAAATATATTATTATGAATTTGTTTCCAAGGCTATCCCTCCCTGCAGTTGCTTTATTATCAATGTACCTACGAGGATATATTAAATTTTCATCGTATTAATTTTGTGTAACCAAATCGGCAGGTTCTTTATTAATTTCGCAAAACGGAAGGGACGAAAGGGGAGTGTTTTTTTAATAGCGCTTCATTCTATTTTGAATATAAAGCAACCATTGTCCTTTTTTTTTTTAACGATTAACTTGAAAGTAGAGTAAGGCTAGGTCATCCCACCTCATCTGATAATGTCTTGTTCATATCATTCACAAGGGAGTTCAGCGAATTAATGTCTTGTTGAAGCAGTCTTGTAGCTGTCTGGTTGAACCGAAAACAAATAACGAATCAACATTGTATATTGAGAGGAGGTTACCATAGTAGCAGTTGAGCACTCGAATTTATCGCACTACTCGGCCAATCTCAAAAAGAGATTAACGAGAATTCGCAAGAGTTGTGTTAAACGCGAGGCCTTCTGTTGTTGAAAAGACGATGATAGTCAGTTATAATTACTAGGTACTTTGTTGATTTATTTTGAGGCATTGGTAGAAGGGTCAAAATGGGACAATGGATGTCAGAATAATTTCAAGGAAACGCGGTATCTGCACCAGGTCCCTGTGCGATGTGTTACGCAAGCACATGGAGTAATGAACATTAGATTTGAAATTATTCCTAGCGAATCAATAGAAAGTTTCTCTGTAGTCCATTTTCAACTCAAAACATGGAAAACCGCTTACCGTTACGGTAAACTCAGTTTGAGATTTGCCAGTCATGTTAGCTGAGACAACCTGTCGCAACGAAAGATAGCAAAAATGATTCATTTTAACATGAAGAACATAAGGAGGATTACATTTCGAGTCACTTTTTCGCGTCAATTTTTCCTGTGTTCAAAAAAAATCTTCCTTTTTTGTTTGATTATTCATCTGTAGCAATTCACACTGATATGGTTTTAATGGGCCCTCTATTCGGTGTAGCATTTCCGAAAAATGTCCAGAAATGAACAAGTAATGGATAAACGAATTACCTCTCATTTCTGCTTATTTGTGGGCGTTTCTTTCGCTTTTGGCTCGTTCAAGGAAATTTCTGTGGGTATGCATCAGCTTCTATCCCCGCATCAGAGGTGTAGTTTCACTTTCCCATGCATTTAACTGAAGTCCTCTTACCTGTTCGTTCTGTATTTTTGACAACTTTTGCTCCAGAGACGTCACCCTGTCCGAAATCTGACTTTCCCCATGTGCCAAAGGAGATGCTATAATGAGAAGACAGTAGATGTAATATGAAACGCTTCTTAGGGAAAAATGATGTACTACCACTCTTCAAGTGGAGTGAAGCAATT